ATGGGGCTTCATATCGAAATCCTGAATTGCTCGCGAGAAGCTCGAAGCGGGAGCTTTCGAAACTTCAACAGCACCCTAGAAACTCCCACATAGTAGTCCAACAACCTCTCATATCCAAAGACTAAACCCTCAGCTTAAAATCTCTTACAAACTACTGTGAGTCCAGATGACTCCAATACACCTTGAGGAATCAGGTTTAGAGCCTTTAGGGTTTAGGGTTTACGGCTTAGGGCTTAGGGTGTAGGGTTTATAGGGTTGGTGCCAAGTACTAACAAGGATGCTCCCTATTTGGAGGTACATTGCTTAATGACCTGAACGGTTTCGGAGTTATGGGGAAATTCTGAACCTGAAAACCTCGAAATCCCAAATCCCCAGAACCTCCATATAGCAAACTCCAAAAAGTTTGAATCGGATTAAGGGCCAATAGTGCTGGCATGCCTTAAACAGTACTTTTCAGGATTGAGTCTATTGGGTTTCCAACTTTTGGGCTTCTACTATAACTTAGTTCTCCAATACCCAACCTTTACACTTTTTGGGCCTCTTATAATTTAGTTGCAATCTGAAAGTTTAATCTTCAAGTTCCCTGGCTTATTGCAAAAGAAAAGATAAATCCATGACATCTTCAGGTGGGTAGTTGCCGATATAGGAGCCTTGTAGACGGTCTATATACCTTATGGAAGCCTTATAGAAGCCCTACATACCCTAAACTCCCCACCTGTAATTTCCTCTAGCTGAGTTGATCTTTCTCTGGAAGGAGCCTCCTTTAGTGCCGCTTTCGGCCGCCCCGCCGGAACCAGAGCGACTGCCGCAGCGTCCTCGCGGAGCCTCCATGTGTTGGAGGATGTGCTTACTGTTTGCTTAAGGGCTGCAAGAGGTATCAGGTTTTCGTCTTTCAGAGTATTATAACACCTTTACGATTTAGGGTTTAGGGGTTCAGGGGTATATAAGATAGCCCTGAACCCCCAAACCCTAAATCGTAAGAAGTACGTAGAGATGCTTGCTGCCTCCTCTGTAGGGGTCTCTTCTGAAACAAGGCGAGGCGCGCGTGGCTCATGCAGTGTGCTGCCCAGAGACTCCAATATCCCTTAATTAAGGAATATACCTTAAATTATAGTAGGATCCTTAATATCCCTTAATTAAGGAATATACCTTAAATTATAGTAGGATCCTTAATATGATTTAAGGTATATTCCTTACTTAAGGGATATTGGAGTCTCTGGGTGTCCATGCTTACATGCCAACTTCCCGGTGCGGGCTTTTGGGCATTCGGGGGTTACATGATCGTGTAAATACACAGAGACTGTACCCTAAACCCTAAACCCATGAGGAGGGTTTAGGGTAGAGGGATGCGGGGTTTTTGGGGTTTAGGGTTTAAGGGTTTAGGGGTTTAGGGTGACGATCTGCCGTCTCTGCGCCTGATGATGCCTGATGCAACATCCGACTGAATCCCGAACTTGGTGTTCTTCTGGTTGGCCCGCAGGACTTTAACTTTTTGGGTTTCTATATGAACTATACTAAGGGGACGAAAAGTTTAACTTTTTGGAGGGGTTCAGAAGTCAGCCAAGCGAAGTCGTCGAGACTGACGTTTAGGGTTTAGGGTTTAGGGTGTAGAGTTTAGGGTTCTGGGTTTAGTGGACGAAAGTTGTTGTGTCCATACCAATCCTGGGGTCAGGAACGACGTATGTTAGGCCCCACACGTTGCCTTCCGAGCATCCGTGCTGATGCGCTTTTGGTTTTAGAATTCAGGGATCTGTAGTCCCCAGAATCAGAAGCCTTCAGCCAGACTTCCTGCTTCAAGCCCTAAGCCCTAAACCCTAAACCCTAAACCCTAAGCCCTAAGCCCTAAACCCTAAACCCAAATCCGGGAGCTTGAACCACTCCCAGCCCCAACGCTCTCAAGATGCACGGTACTGGAGCGAGTAGCCTCCAAAACCCTTGGGACTTTTTTTCTAGAGAATGTACCGTAGCTTACTGAGATTCTGGGCTAGCTTTCGTGCATTTGCAGTCTCTGTGTCTAAAACGTATAAACCCTAAACCTGTAAACCCCTAAACCCTAAACCCTAAACCTGTAAGCCCTTAAACCCTAAACCCTAAACCTGTAAACACCTAAAACCCTAAACCCTAAACCCTAAACTCTAAACCAACCCCTGAACCCTCAAAAATCCCAGCCAGGCTGGGCAGATCTGTCGGATTCGGAGGAGGAGCTGGCCCTGTTTTACTTGGTGTTCTTCTGGCTGGCTCTTAGGACTAACTTCTTGGAAAAAAAATATTTTAAGCCCGTATATTACGAGGTCAGGAGCTCCACCACCTTGAGGTTCTGAGGTCGACAGGGCTTGGTGTTCAAGTGTGCATTTCGGGTTCAGGTTTAGGGTTCAGGGTTTAGGGTTTGGGGTTTAGGGTTTGGGGTTCAGGGCTGTCGCTTTCACGCCGAGAATTTTAATAAGGAGCCCAAACCCTATTCTAATTATTAAGGCCCCGACATTACCCGTACGTGGGTTCCCCAGTAGCCCCTTAGTAATAAGGGTGCCCTGTTTCCAAAAATTTGGCTTTCAGCAGGGAGCCCCAACAGAAAGATGGCAGAAGGATACTACTGGGGAACCTATCACTACTTATTAAGATTTCGTTGCACAAGTGCTCTCTTAACCCTAGTTGCCTTTTATCCGAACCTGAAAGTACTTGGCTGACTTCTTAGGGTTAATGGCATTAGCCGCCTTTTTCAGGGTTGTGGGGTCATGTTTTTTGTTTTTTTAAGTTTTGGTTTTCAAAGTTGTCCAAGGCTATCAGGGTAACCCGAAGTAAAAGCAACACCCGACAGTCTAAGTTTGCCTTCAGCACTGAACTGTCAAGCACTAATAGCTACTGACTCCGTCGTTGTAGGGCACAGCGATAAAATTCGTTATTTGGAGACAGGTTTGTGAGTAAGGCACGACGGATGGAAGCGATAGCCATCATTGACAAGTACATGTAAGCCGATTCTGTATTCTGTGGCGATCCATGATCATTGAAGCAAATCTCAAATCCTAGACCGTAAACGCTCTAAACCCGGACTTTATATCCCCGAGCCTTGTTTAACTGCCTAGGGCTAAGCCTTACCCTACATGGCACAGAGGACGCGATACCTGCGGCCCGTGAGACCCAGGACCTAGACAGGGATTCGGGGAAAATGGGCTTGGGGTTCAAGCTTTCTAAGGATCAAGATTCCTTATGGTGCTAGGGTGTAGGGTTCGAGGGTTCTAGGGGTTTAGGGTTTAGGATTCAAGCTTTAGCCTTATGGTTCTACGGTTGAGGATATAAATCCTGTACTACCTTTAGGACTTTAGACTGTGGGAATAATGGTGTATTCCGTATTATGCTTAATGCAGGGTTTATATCATCAACCGTAGTTTAGGGTTTAGGGTTTTAGGGTTTAGGGGTCTAGGGTGGGATTTAAGATGTGGGGTGTATGGTGTGGGACTTGCCTGGAGCTTCCAACACAACTCCCCCGGAAGCAGCAGCTTGTTGCCCATCAATTCAAAACCCAGAAACCCAAAGCCCGAGGCCCTAAACCCTAGACCCTAAACCCTAAACCCTGAACCCTCAACCCCAAGCCTGTTCACAGTGCATATGTAATCCAATCCTTGGCCCCAAAGCTTGCAGCGATGCAGCACAAAACAGGGAGCGAGAGAGTCACAGCGCGGAGGCTGGCTGTTGAAACGGTTTAAGGTTTAGGGTTGCAGTTTATTAGGGTTACTGTAGCTTAGTTTTGCAATACCCAACCTTTCGAACTTTCTGGGTTCTTATAATTTAGTAGCAATCTGAAAGTTTGGCCGTTTCTTTCCCTGGCTTATTGGGGAAGTAAGTTAAGGGGTTAGGGTTACTCTAGGGGTTCCACAGAAAAGCGATGATTTAGTAAGTCTAGGCTTTTGGGTCTAACAGGTAACCGGCGCGAGAGATGGAGCTAAAGGAACCCTTAGACTTCAAGGAACCCTGAAAGGAGCCCGAGCCCCGAAATACAAAGCCGCCTAAACCCAAAGCCCGAGACCCTAAGTCGAAGCCCTCCTTCGTGCCGGGTGTATATTCGGCTCTGGAAGGGCGAATGCACCATGGTGAATGGCAAGCACCTTCTGCGGTGCATGGAAGGTGCATAATCATATGTTGCCGCGGGGCAGGCAGCAGTGGCGGCGGTGTCGGCCGCGCCGCAGCAACATCACAACGATTCGGAGACGCTCTCTGCCGATGATTCATCGCAGGACGAAGAAGCCTCGCGGAGGTGGCCTTTTACCGGTGGCTGTCTTTCTTCAGCAAGAAGCTGCTGCCATGGTGGTCCAGTCAGACACGGCTGCATGGCTGGCGGAGCAAGCCATGCTGCTGGAGCGGAGCCCTTCCGTGGCCTTGGATTATTGGACCATTCGGGCGAGCACGACTACGCCAAGATGGCAGTGGACGGCATTGAACAGCTGGTGCCAAGCCAGTTTGCAATCATGCGACCCTAAACCCTAAACCCCTAAACCCTATATCCTAAACCCCTAAACCCTAAACCCTAAAACCCTAAACCCTAAACGTCTTGGCGCAGGGCTCCGGGCTTACCGAAAGAGATCCGCGTCGCTGTGCAGCTCGATGATGACAGACTCTGCACACGTCAACTTGCGCCAGAGGGACATCGCACCCTGAAGTTTCCACCGCAGATTCTGGAGGTGGTTTCCATATTAAAAATCGAACAGTAGGAACAAAGGTATCTTTATGAGTAAGGGGTTATTGGGGCGATTGAAATTTAGTCAGATATCTACATACAACCCAACTGGCCTTACTCACACTTCTAAATTTGAAACCATGGGCCCCTAGTATGGGCCCCTAAGCCTGGGATCCTTATATACCTACTATCTACCCTATATGTACCCTTAAGGGATTCTAGAACCCCCCAAGGGCCCATATCCTAAACCCTAAACCCTAAACCCTAAACCCTAAACCCTAAACCCTAAACCCAACCTTGGATACACTACGTCTCCTGAACCCCCAAGCAGGAGCGGGGCTCCAAGCTGCAACCTGCAGTGGCCCAGTGCGGAAGGTGGGCTCGGGGCCCTAAACCCCAAACCCAAACCGGGGTTTAGGGTTTAGGGTTTAGGGCTCCTGGCGGTTGAGGAATCAAATTCTCAACTTTGCGGGAGTAGAGGATGCTGTGAGCAACTGAAAGCTTCAACTTCTTTGGCTGATGGACCGGGCAAATACGAGACTCATGATGTTGCTGCTGAGATAATGATAACGCGAATGACAAGTTGCAAAGAGCTCACACCCCAAATCCCAACACATCTAAACCCGGAGGTTTAGCTTTAGGATGGCGGGCGCAGGACTTCGGGATAGAGGACCCAGAGTTTAAGGCTGAACCCCGCTGAAGAGGCGAACTCCCCATCACCGAGCTCTCCGGTCATGTCTTAAGGTAGACGACCGATTATCAAAACACACGTTCTTTCAGGTTCGGGTCGATGTTACCTAAAACGCTAAACCCTAAAGCCTAAACCTACTTTCGAGTCTCATTACCTACTCAGTTGTAGGGTCCTTGTGATATCGATGGCCCTACGAAGACGTAGGTCGCGGAGGTGTTCACGACATGTCCTACACCCTGATCCCAAAGCTCGCCGGCATTAGCATTTTTGGGTCATAAGCACAGCCAGCCCCTAAACCCTAAACACCTCAACCTTGAACCCCTAAACTCCCTAAACCCCAAACTCCTAAACCCAAAGCCCCTAAGCCCAAAACTCCTAAGAGCTTTCTCTAGGTAGGCCTTTGGGACATTTTTACACTTTCCCTTATTGGGCTTAAGAGGATCTTATTTACGAATATTTTTCAGAGGCTTTGAGGGGCCAAACTAGTTCTTGGTGAGGTGCTGCCGTCTCCTGGACAAGTCTTGCTTCAGCCGTCGGGCCTGGCGACAGGCCGAGCTCGAGGGTTTAGGGCTTAGGGCTTGGGGTTTGGGGTTTAGGGTTTAGGGCTTGGGGTTTGGGGCTTAGGGTTTAGGGTTTGCGGGGATTGGGGTTTGGGGTTTAGTCTAGGACATTTTCAGGCGGGAGTAGTTACTGTTATAGGAGCCTTATAGCAGGTCTCTATACCTCATAGAAGCCCTATACACCCTAAACTCCCCCCCCCCCCTCCAGTAGTTTCCTTTAATTTAGGGTTCCGGGCATTGGGTCTAGGGTATGGGGCTTAGGGTTTAGGGGTCCAGGGTTCAGGGCGTGAGGAGTTGGGGTTTAGCTTGGGGTTTCAAAGGGTTCTTATGAGCGCTTCATGAATTTCTATGAGTCCTCAAGGAGCTTAAACAAGCCTTTTGAAGAGGTTTGCTCATGACTTGTTGTGAGCATCTTTTAAAGTAGAGTGTTATCGAGTTTGCCGGCTGTCAGGTGGCTTTCGGGTTTCACAATGTTCCCGAGTGGGATTTGTATGAAAATGCCTTGACTTGAGTGTTTCTGTTGAGGCTGAAGGGGGGCGGAGGCGGGCTCCCAAACAATTATTGGGGATTCTTACAAGAACCCCAAACCCTAAATTTTAACCCAAAACACTAAACCGTGTAGGCTTGCACTGAGTCTTCTTTGGCTTATCCTGCTTGACTCCCCCAGTGTGCGAGGGTAATCTAAGCGCTACAGGCCTCAGGTAAGAATGCAAGCCTTACCCTAAAGCCCTAGCCCGAGAAAACATAAGGACCCTTGGGCCACAGAATCCTAAGCCCGAAAGCACTAGAATGAAACCCCTGATAGAACCTTATCCCTTATCCCTAAACCCTAAACCCTTATTAAGCCATATGTCGAACACCCTGGATCTTAACCCTAAACCCTAAATCTTAACCCTAAACCTTAAATCTTAACCCTAAACCCTAAATCTTAACCTTAAGCCCTAAAATAAGAGCATCTATAAACGCCGTGACGGTACCTGCAGGTGCGAGGAAAAGGTTCTCAGGGCCTTCGAGCTCCGAACAGCCGTTGCCTCAGATTACCCAGACCCGGTAGAGTTTAGGGTTTAGGATTGAGGGTGGGAGGATCTAGGTCCCTTAAGGAGGTTCCTATAAAGTACCCCTTAGTAGTATAGGGTCCCAAATTAGGGGGATCTACTTTCTAGACCCTTCCGAAGGTCTCAGCTCAGGGTGTGGGGCTTAGGGTTTGCGGTTCTGGGGTTTCGGGCTTCAGGGCTTAGGGGTTTGGGGGTTTCTCGGAGGGGGGTCAAAGGTGAGGGCTCGACTCATGGGTTCTAGCATTTGGGGCTGCATGGGTTTGAGTTTAGGGTTTATGGTTTAGGGTTTAGGGTGGCTTAGGGTTTAGGGGTTTGGGGCTTATAGGGTTCAGGGATGAGGGCTCGGGGCGTAGAGTTGAGGGCTTAGAGTCTCAACCCTAAACCCTAAAACCGGCCTAAACCCTAAACCTAAAACCCTAAACCCTAAAACCCTAAACCCTTGAGTCAGTAGTAACACCATTCCGCAGGGTTGCTCAAAAAGCCTATTCTAGTGTTAAGGCTCCGGTAGAAGGGGCTTTCGGTGTTTCGGGTCCAGGATTCAGACATTTAGGGTTTAGGGCCCAGGTTCGGGGTCTAGGATTCTGGGTCAGGTTAGCCTCTTGATAGTTGAGTTTATGGACTTCAAATTTTGTGTTTAGGGTCTAGGGTTTATGGACTTCAAACTTTGTGTATGTTGTATGCTCCCTAAACCCTAAACCCTGAACGTTGGTTCAATCAGAAAGCTTCAATGTGTCCATGAGCAGGGAAGTCAGTGGTTGCTGGTAGTCTGTGCTTTATTGGGTTCTGGAGTACCATACTTGAATACGCTTGTTTGTCCGACCGGCTTCTTAAGGGAACTATTATGAAAGTCTATACGTTTTCTCCCTGGGTTACTTCAGAGCTCAGTTCAGTTGGGGTCAGTACCAGGCTCGTTTTTGTTTTATGAACTTACTTGCCAAGTCGCGTCATCCGACCTTCAACCATATAGTCTAAGACTCGAAAAGCCTTGACTCCCTAAACCCTAAACCCTAAACCCTAAAACCTAAAGCCCTAAACCCTAAACCCCTAAAGCCTAAACCCATGGTTTCCAGCACATCAGCGCCTCTTGGCTAGCCATCTACAGGCCAGGTCGAGGGCCTAAGTTTAGGGCTTTTCAGGGTTAAAGACTGGGATCTAGTACAGAGGTCTGCTTCTTTACCTAAACCCTTGGTGTTCTTCTGATTGGCTCTTAGGACTTTAACTTTTGGGGTTTCTATATGAACCATAAGAATAAGGCGACTAAAAGTTTAACTGTTTGGACGGGTTCAGCAGTCAGCCAAGCTTCTTTACCTAAACCCCAAATCCCTAAATCCCTAAGCCCTAGATCCCTAAGCCCTAAACCCTAAATGTCTTACCTCAGGCCTATTTCAAGCATTAAGGCACCTCTGGGAGGGTTCTGCAAAGGACAGTCTCGCAAGAGACTGACCGCCTCAGAATCGAGGCTTACCGCAGAAGCCAGGCGGCGCAGGTCGAGATGGCGAAATTCCAGGAGACCGTCGCTAAGGCTCGAGCCGAGATCGCTGCTGCTGCTGGGAGGTCCGATTATCACAGTCGCAAGGCAGGGCGGCCGAAATGCGGGGGGTATGTTCATGGATGTTGTGAACCTTAGGACCCCCCTTCATATGGTATAATCCCCAGCCCATGTGGCGCTTGAAAGATCGCAAGCGTCGGCGTTCGTCTTCTTCATCCTCATCCTCTGAGAAGAAGAAGAAAGAGAGGGAGAAGAAGCCGAGTCATCCCAGCCCCGCGGACAAGAAGCTAGACAAGCCTGGCCGGGGAGGTGGTCGGGTCAGGGTCGGTGGTGGTGGGGTTATAAGATGCCACATGCACCGAACGACCCTATTCTACATAACCTTGGCAAGTCCCCATAAACCCCTTATCGCCAGAGCCTTAACTTAGTTCTCCAATACCCAACCTTTAAATTGTTCGGGCTCTTATAGTTTAGTAGTAATCTGAAAGGTGAACCTTTTATTTCCCTTGCTTATTGAGGAAGTAAGTTAAAGGAAGCTTCGACACACCGCCCAAAACCGCTTGGGAAGATGCTTCGGTGTCGTGATGCTTCTCCTTCTCAGGGATCTCGACCAGCTTGATGGACGCGTATGTGGGAAGATCCTCGACCCCAAACCCGAATCCCTAAAGCCCCAAAATCCTAAACCCCCTAAACCCCTTAAACCCCTAAACCCAAAACCTCCTAAACCCCCAAACCCCCTAAACCCTAAACCCCTAAACCCCTAAACCCTAAACCCCTAAACCCCTAAATCCCTAAAACCTAAACCCTAAACCCCTAAACCCCCCGAACCCCCCCGAAACCCCCTAAACCCCTAAAGCCCTAAACCCCCTAAAGTCTAAACCCACAACCCCTAAAGCCCCTAAAACCTAAACCCAAAGCCCCCTGAACCCCTAGACCCCCTTGCAACAACTCCAAAGCCCCTAAACCCCTAAATCCGAACTTACACAAAACTCCAAACCCCCTGGTGCTTCTCAAAGGCGCGTCCTGTCGGGACTGCAGCGGCCGACTGTAGGATTCAGTTTCTAGGTCTGTTGAGGTCGTGAATTTTCGGGTTTAGGGTTTAGGGTTTAGGGTGGTTTTCGGCTAGAAGATAGGAGCTTCAGAGTGTTGTTAGGTTTAGGGCTTTAGGGTTTTAGGGTCTAGTTTAGGATTTATAGAGCCTCAGTCATTGGCTGTACCATTCGGGTCTTTGTTGTCGAGGGTGCTACGTTGCATGCAGCGACTGGGTGAACCTAGGAATCAGTACCTTATGACCCCTTAATCAAAGGGAGTCCCTGTCAATGTGCACCCGCTGACCGCAAACTGCGGACGGCGGCGCTTCTCGTGGCGGCTCCTCAATCAGGAGAAACAGTGTTTGAGGGAAAATGTGCATTCCATCTTCCAGAGCGGGTTTCAAAGGGTCTGGGGATTTATGTTTCGCAGGTTGTTTACAATGAGTGTGGTCCTATAGGCATTGTCGTGGTTACATACCCGCCTGCCCGAATTGATCGCACTTCAGCTACACCACTATGCCCAAACACAACACCTAGAGACCTCGACAAGAAAAGCGACACGTATTTTACGCGGTTGCCCTCGTCCTTCCCATCTTGGTTCAGGATCTCCGCATCAAACCATACAACCGAAACCCGAGCTGTTTATGTAACAGGAAGTACGAGACCGGATTGGGGTATAGGGGCCTTACTGATTACCTATACTATTTTGGGAGCGGGCTCCTTATTACAATGATAGTATAATTAATATACCCCACAACCCATTTTAACTATTAAGGCCCCTACATTAGAGGCTTTTAGGGTTTAGGGTTTTGAGTTGCCGCCACTTTCCCAGCTTCTGATTGCTTGGCTTTTTCACTGCTGTGTCTCGAGCTGCACATCAAATACATATATGTTTGTACATGTATATGGACAGTACATACACACATATATGCATACATGCGTACACACACACATACATAAATACTGACAGGCGGACCGACAGACGTACATACATACATTCATACATACATGCGTGCATGCATGCACCCATACATGCATATACATACCGACTTGCAACATCTTGCAAGCACGCATAATAAGAGGAGTGCAAACCGAATCGAAAGCTCGCATAAGACAGCGGTCTGAATAATTAGCAACCCCAAGACCCGAATTTTCCACAGCAGGAACCCCAAAACCCTCAACCGCCCTAAACCCCTTAAACCCTAAACCCCAAAACCCTTATAAACCCTAAACCCCTAAACCCTAAACCGTTTTTTGCTACGCCACACACGGCTGTTGCTTCTCCGTTTCCGAACAGCTCCACAGCAGGGGGCCATGCCAGGAACTGCCCTGATACGAGACTGCTAGGATGTGTGAAGCTCGGGGGTCCCAAGAGACTCCCACTTTCTTTAATTAAGGACTTCCTTAAATTATAGTAGGATCCTGAATATGACTTAAGGTATACCAGAGACTCCCAAATTCTTCAATTAAGGAATATTCCTTAAGTTATAGTAGGATCCTGAATATGATTTAAGGTATATTCCTTAATTAAGGGATATGGGAGTCTCTGGGGTCTAAGGTTTCAAGATATGTCCTGAAGAAGCTACACGGTCGATGATATAAAGCCTGCATTTTCTACTGAAAGGGGACTTTCCTAGAAAGAAGTAAAAAATACCGTCGATGAGATAAAGCCGGCATTACCCATAATAAGGAAATCTACCATAATTCCCAGAGTTTAGGGTCCTTCAGGTAATGGAGGATTTATTGCATCAACAGTATGGGCTTTTATTGTAGATTCCGATTAAGGCATCACATGCTCGGGACCTCGGCTCCTGCACTAGGCTTCGAGGTTTAGATCTGCGGGCTTACCATTGTATGAAGATGCTGTATATAGTAGAAGCCAGAAAGTTGGAACACCATTATCCTCACGCCCTTAAGCTAAAGTAGAAGGGATCCCCAACCCAAATAACCTTAAATCCATGTTCCCTATAGAACTTGTTTACCTAGTCAGTTCCCTGGCACGCCCCAGCATGCAGTTCTCACCGCAAGCACAGGCCTTTGCTGTTGACAATTCCGCCGCGGCGCTCGCGGAGAAAGTGCTCTGTGATGTCCTGCGATTGACTATCTTAGACAGCCAATAGGAGAACGTTAAACTTTTTGGCCTTATCTATTAGCTCTATCCTAAAAAGTTTGAACTTTTTTGGGCCTGGTTGTTGAAGAAGAGAGTTATGGAATGCATGTAATCCAGTCTTCCAAAGCAGCCTCGAAACCACAAATCCCCTTCTCCCTGAATCCAGAACTCGTGATGCCCTGATCCCCGGAACCCTCCTGAACACGATGCCCGAAGCCGCAAACCCTAAACCCTAAAACCCTAAACACTAAAACCCTAAACCCTAAAACCCTAAAACCCTAACACCCTGAACCCAAAAACACCTACACCCAAATCACCCAAAAACCCGAAACCCTAAACCCTAAAACCCTACACCCAAAAACCCGAAACCCAAAACCCTAAAACCCTACACCCAAAAACCCGAAACCCTAAACCCTAAAACCCTACACCCAAAAACCCGAAACCCAAAACCCTAAAACCCTACACCCAAAATCCGAAACCCTAAACCACTCACCGCAGCCGCCCCTTTGTTGGATCGCCGCCTGCTTATAGCCAGAGCCAGCAAACATCGGTTCAGAAAGGCCCGGGTTCAACGGTTTAAGGTTTGGGGCCTTAATAACTAGACTAGGGTTTGGGCGTATATTATAGTATAATTAGAATAAGGAGCTTCCCAAAACCCGGTTCTAATTATCAGGGTTATCAGGGTTTGGTTCAGGATTTAGGCGTCAGAATGTTTTTTCGATGACTCAAAAATCCCAAATCGAATTTCCTTAAACCTCCAGCTTAACAGTCAGCAACACCCTGCACCGTCAACGCACTTAGAGCCCTTTGAAGCTACACCCTACCATCCGAATTCCAAAATTCAGGTTTGGGTGTACATGGCCACACACCCCACGTCAGGATTTCAAGCTTTAGACTAAACCCTAAACCCTAAACCGCCACTACACTTTAAAAACAATCCTAAACCGTCTTTTAGTTCCGATCCTGGGCCCAAGCATCGCATCATGGCAGATGACGTCTCCAGCCGGAGTCCCAGTTTCAGCGGGATCTGCCGGGGCCGAGATCGAGGTTGCCTCCTTTGAAGCTCTGGGGCCGAAAGTGGTTCTACTTTCGCCGGGTTTATGTTTAGGGTTTAGGGTTTAGGGTTTGGGGTTTAGGGGTTTAGGGGTTTAGGGGTTTAGGGGTTTAGGGTTTAGGGTTTAGGGTTCGGTTCTGAGTTCCCTAAACCCTAAACCCCTAAACCCTAAACCCTAATTTGAGTTATGAGGCCTAGTACATGTCGAACCTCAAGGCGTAGACCCTGAAGGCCTTAAGCTTAAATTTATACCTTAGGGCTCCCTGCTATACTCATACTAAACTACTCAAGAAGCCCTTACATCATCCGTCCCTGCCCATCTAATAAGCGTGCCGCGCACTGCGTTGAATCTGACTATAGTCGCTTTCCTGACCGCGCTTTGGCCATATTTAGTAGGGTACTGTAGTTTAACTCGAGCCCAAGCATGCCCAGCGGCTATAGTATGGTACTAGGGCAGAGTATAGAGTAGTTTTATTCGAGCCCGCCTAACCCCTGGGGCCCACAGCGCCCTCCGCGCCCCCAGCGCCCATTAGACGCAGGCTCGGCAGAGCCAAGCCTAAATCGGCAGTTTTGTGGGGTGCCCATGAACAGGCGGTTGAACGAAAACCATAGAGAAGCCTTTATTTACGATTTGGATACACTTGTGGGGTTTAGGGTTTAGGGTTGATATGATTGATGGATACTGTGGCCTCGAGGCAAAAGCTATGCAAAGGGCTCGTGAGAAGCTCTGCATAGCACTGATGCTTGGAGCTCCGAGCCGCAGGCTACGGCAGTAAACCCTAAACCCTTAAACCCTAAACCTTCATCGAAGCGCTGCTCTGGCTGTGACACCTACAGGAACAAGTCTAGCAATTGGTGCCCACAAGAAGCACCCTTTGTAGTTAGAATAGGGCTTTGGGCTTGGGTTCATCATAGTATGTTGCGTATATTTATATTCATCACTAGTACATTTTTATAAGGGACTACATGCAGATCTTTTTATTGATTGTTCCGACCCCTATCTCATTCACTTAAATGCAAGAAAGGGTGCCCATATTCATGAGGTTTTGAATTTACAGGTTTAGGGCTTTTCAGCGAACCCTAAACCCAAAACCCTCAACCCTTACACCCTAAACCCTACACCCTAAACCCTAAACCCTAAACCCTAAACCGTAGCCGATTCTGGTGGAAGAAGGGCACATACCACCCGAGTTTCTGGCCACCGGGCTCGGAAGGCTCTCTGTCGGATTTTCATGTCTGTCGACCCGAAACCCCAGACCCCCGACTGCAACGGTTTAGGGGTTCGGGTTTAGGGTTTAGGATTTAGGGTTTAGGGTTTAGGGTTTGGGGTTTTGGGTTTCGGATTTAGGGTTTCCAGTTTTGGGTTTTAGGGTCCCTAAGCCCTAAGCCCAAATCCCCTAAACCCTAAACCCCATCGTAGGTCAAACGAGCCCAAACCCCCCAAACGCTAAATCCTAAGCCGTCCGTGGGGACCGCGGGTTAGGGCTTGGGACTCCGATCTAGGGTGCAACCTAAAGCCGTCGTCCGACACCCTGAGTCCAGGGTTTAGGTTTAAGGCGTGGTTAGGGGTTTAGGGTTTAGGGTTTAGGGTGTGATGTGCACCTCTGACTAATGCACCCTTTGCCGTGTATATAGCGCTTATGAAGGGTATCTCAATATTAGGGCCCTTAAAGAAAGCGCGTTCGTATATTAAGGGCCTACATTGCGATTTAGGGTCAAACTAGGAGTAGGTTTCACGATCAGCGAGCTTTCATTTTTCCAGTGGGAACATGGACATGTAAGTACTGTAGGGATCGGAATAGGTAGCTATGTTGTTCCTTCGGGTTCTGTTTTGTATTTATACTACGGCAGCCCACCCAAAAACGATAGTGAACCCCCGACAGTTGGAACATGGCTTAAGGATGACTAGTGCTACGATTCCTTATACCTTACCTTTTAAGGGGCTGAGGAAATTAATGTTCCAACTTTCTGGCTTCTACTTTGATCTAAACCCTAAACCCTATCAAGATCGCTAGACAAAAGCAGCGCTAAACCCTAAACCCTTAAACCCTAAACCCTAAACCCTAAACCCTAAAGACTTGATTTGTGCTCAGGTGACCCAATCGTCAAGGCGCTGCAGAAGAGCACGATCGCCCAGACCTTGAAGGTGCCTGGCTGTGCATTTCAGGGGTTTAGGGGTTTAGGGTTCAGGGGTTAGGGTTTAGGGGTCTAGACTGGACTTCGTGGTGATGTAGAACCTGATGAATGGAGCCATCCTCCCTTAGATCCTGATATTGAGACCCCTAGAGCATTGAGAAGGGGAGGTTGCTAAGCAGGGATGCCTGCCTGAGTCTTTGTGGAGTTGTCACGAGCTTGATGACATATTATTTGGAGACATTGAGGTCTGAGTATGTTCTAGTAGCATCCCCGCATTGTCTCTGTGTCATTATGCCAGATCATATACCCTTAAAGCCTTCTTCGAGTTATTAAGATACCGATAAAACCTAACCCTTTACCCTAAACCCTAATCGCTAAGCCCTGAACTCTGATTTCTAAGCTCTGTATAGCTTAAGCCTAGCTCAACCCCAATTAACCTACTTTTTTTCGGGCTCCTTGTTAAGATTTCTTCATATAAGTCCTTAAAAAGGGGTTATTGGGGGTTAAGGTAAAGCAGGGACAGGACTGCCTGCGCTCATCGGCCCTTATGACACGCTCTCTAAACCTCGAAGACCGTTTCCATTAGAGTAGATACCGAAGGTTAGGGCTTGGCGTGTGGAGCTTGGGTTTAGTGTGTACAGCGACAGTGATATTACTATAGACGCAGGCCCGACACCCCTAAATCCTAAACCTTTAAGCAGCATGAAGCCTGGACCCTACGCGCAGGCTGCCCGTGCCTCCTTGGCGGAACCTTCGCGGCCTTACACGCCTTTGGACAGGTTGGGCTTAGGGCTCATGCTGCTTGAAGGTTCGGGTGACATAGCAAGTAGGGTTTTAAGTAAAGTAACTTATAGTTACTTATAACCTCAGTTAGGGGATTTATAGCGCAACTTACTACGTCCCCTGATGTCCCTGATGCTCTAAGTAGTGTTGATGGGGCCTTTGGTCATGAGGGTTCCCCTAAACCCTAAACTCCTAAATCCTGAAACTCCTGAACCCCTAAACCCTAAACCGTCAGGGTTGCAAAGAGGTTTCCTTGGTGTTCTTCTGGTTGGCTCTTAGGACGTTAATTTTTTGGGTTTCTAGCGGAACCATAATAAGGAGGCTAAAAGTTTAACGTTTTGGAGGGGTTAAGTCAGCCAAGATACTAATTATACCCTAAACCCAAAACCCTAAACTATAATACACACCCGAGCCCGTCAGCCAAGTTTCTCAAGTTTTCCTTGTCAGCGTTTTCGAAGTGTCGAAGGCTGAAGGTTCGGGGCCTTCAAGGGTTGAACTGTTTATGCTTCAGAGTTTAATATAGGGGCCTAAATGATTACCAAAACTACTTTGGGGGCTCCTGACTCTAATTATAGTATAATGTACCCCAAAACCCTATTCTATTTGTTAAGGCCCCTACATCAAGGTTCAGGGTTTAGGTTTGAACTCTTTGTTCTTCAGGGTTTAGGGTTTGGGTTGGACCCTGGGCCGAGTTAAGGGCTCTTCTGTGCGGTGGTTTTCTCTGTTGCTTGGAGGGTTGTCTTCGGGTTGCTCGAGCAATTCGAAGAGGGCATGAAGGGGGAAACTGCAGTATAGTTAAAAGGGCTGCTTGAAGCTTCAGGGGACTGAGTAAGTAGCGTTATAATAAAGGTAGCTAGACTTATATTTACTTTGTGACTTATAACCTATTTGCTTAGTCCCCTGATCCTCTAAGTTGAAGGGGATGTTATCACGAAGTTTGAGGCTCTGCAAACCCCCAGGAGCAAAGCCCAATCCCATGTGAGAGCACTATACGAATTTCATGAAGGAGCCTTAAACCTTGCTTACTTGGAGGATCTTGAGACTTAGTAAGTAGGGTTATAAGTACCTCAACTGGAGTTATAAGTAGTTATAAGTAGTTATAAGTATAGTTACCTTATTTATAACCTCAGCTACTAGGTCCCGTGATCCTTGAAGTAAGGGAAGCCACTTATGAAGGATCCCTGTAATCCTTCACTAAGAGAAAGCCAACCAAAAAGAAGCCCTTCAACAGCAAGCCCTTTCTGAAATAATAACTCTGATAGTATGCGTTTTAGACCCCTTTACAAAGGAAGCATATTCTAGTTATCCCTAAACCCTAAACCCTAAACCTGCATTTCTGAGCCGTTTTCAAGTCCTGAGCCCTGAAGCCTTTAAGTGAGTCCTAAGCCCTGGGTGTAAAGCAAAAGCAAACTTTGCGGCGATGAATTTTCTGTTAGGGTTTAGGGTTTAGGGTTCAGGGTTTAGGGGTTTAGGGTTTAGGGTTTAGGGTTGAGCTTTCTGAACAGTTTGAGCCATGTCCCAGGCAAGCTTCGAGAACGCTTGCGTTTGCCCAACAGCGGTTCTCCACGATTACAGATGTGTTCCGCTTGATTACCCTGCGTGCCAACAGCATTATATGGTTCCTGGCAGAGATAAGAGAGGAGGAAGGTTGTCACAAAGATGTGGCAGGCAGGCTGCTCAGCGAGGCCAGCTAAGCTTTGGAAACTTGCTTTGCCAGGCAACTTCCAACCATGATGGTTGCAAATTATTTCTTGTGAAGGTGATGACTGTGGACAATCTCATACTGGCAGCCCTCGTATCAGAGTTCGCGGCCGCGGCCACAAGTTACATCAGGAAATTCGACAATCAGGGCAGGGACCACAACAGTGGCCCGCGACGGAACGTGGTCGGGCAAGAAGGTTTAGGGTTTAGGGTTTAGTGTTTAGGGAGAAGAACTGCAAATGCTTTCCCGTAGGGTTCCATGAGCAATGTACACACAAACGCCTTCCAAGATTTCAAGCCCCGTGCCTTAAGCCCTTTCTCGACAGGGTGGGTAATACCCCCTGATTAGGAAACATATCTTCAGATACTACTACGAGAAAGAATATCATATGGTTAAGGGGAATTGGGCTCTTTGGATAAGCCCTAAATGCTAAAGCCTCACCTGATAAAGACCTTCTACAACAGTACAGAGCCGCATAAATGAGTTCACACAAGCGCACAGTTCGTATTCAAACCTTATAAAACCCATATGACACCATATACCTTGGTGTTCTTCTGGTTGGCTCTTAGGACTTTATTTTTTGGGGTTTCTAGATGAACCATAATACGGAGACTAAAAGTTTATTTTTTTAGAGGGGTTAAGTCAGACAAGATATGACACCATATACAACCCGATAAAGGCTCTAACGCCTATAACTTATAATAGGACCCCTTAATTAAAGAATAGACCTTAAACTATAATAAGAACCCCATAATTAGGGAATAGACCTTAATCTATAATAGGAACTAAACCCTAAACCCAAACTCTAAACTCTAAACTCTAAACCCTAAATCCTAAACCCTAAACCCTAAACCGAACCCTACCATCCCTTTGCTCTGCCCTGACAAGGTCTCTCTTCCAGCGCCCGAACGAGGGAAGCGATCCAAGGCACGATTCGGCGCCGAGTTTTCCGGGTCCCAGAGACTCCAATATCCCTTGATTAAGGAATATTCCTTAATTATAGTAGGATCCTTAATATGATTGCAGGTATATTCCTGAAATAAGGGATATTGGAGTCTCTGGGCCGGGTTTGGGGCGTGGGTTCATGTCGCTATGACAATGCGAACGTGCCCTTCCCAGCCATGTCAATGTAAGACCCTAAGATCGCCACTTCTTTGTAAGTCCCGAAATTCGATTCCGCCTGTGCCGACCACTGGCAACGGCCTCATCTGGGAGTTTCAGAGAATAGGGGACCCTAGTATAGGATCTTTAATAGTAGGATCCTTATTATGAGGACCCCTAAACCCTAAACCATAAACCCTAAAGCCTAAATCCCTGGTGGAGCAGCTCATCGTCGTCATCGTCTTTAGGGGTTTAGGGGTTTAGGGTTTAGGGTTTCGGGGTTTCGGGGTTTAGGGGTGTAGGGTTGAGGGTTGAGGGTTTGGGGTTTAGGGCTGATAGTCCAAACATGAACTTGGCGTTCTTCTGGTTGGCTCAAGTCTTAGGACTCCAACTTTTCTTTTGGGGGGTTCTATATGAACTTTAGTCAGGATTCTAAGAGTTTAACTTTTAGGAGGGGTTCAGAGGTCAGCCAAGTCCGAATGTGCCCTCTCTCCCGCAAAAATCCCTTAGCAGCTATTTGAAGACTTTGACTTCCTGTAATATGTGGGGTAACTGTTTGGGGTTCCTTATTATGACTATAGTGTAATGTACCCCAAAACCCTATTCTAATTACTAAGGCCCCTAGCTTACGTAATTATTCGGGGACAGGCATAAGCCATCATTTAAAGCTTTAGAGAGCCCTTAGAGGACCGCAAGGAACCCTTATAGAACCCTCCACAAGACCATGAAATCAAAATTTATGTCTTTCTCCCTGCGTACTTCAAAGTCCAGATTTGCGGCAGTTCAGGCGTCCTTGTCAAAAAGACCCTAAACCTTAAACCCTAAACCCTAAACCCTAAACCCTAAACCCTAAACCCGCGCTCGCTTGGATCTTTAGATGCTGTTCACGTGGTCGCACCCAGGGGACTCAGGGTTGAGAGGCTTGGGGCTGAAGGTTAAGAGTTCGAGTTTAGGATGGGTTTAGGGTTTAGGGCTTTAGGGTTTAGGGTTAAGGGTTCTAGGGTTTAGAGTTCGAGTTTAGGATTTTGGGATTGAGGGCTGTAGGTTTTTAGGCTTTAGGGGTTTTAGGGTCTAGGGTTTAGAGTTCGAGTTTAAGGTGTAGGGTTTAGAGTTATGTAGAGTTTAGGATTTTGGGATTGAGGGCTTTAGGTTTTTAGGGTTTAGGGGTTTTATTTAGAGTTATGTAGAGTTTAGGATTTTGGGATTGAGGGCTTTAGATTTTTAGGGTTTAGGGGTTTAGGGTTTAGGGTTTAGAGTTCGAGGTTAAGGTTTAGGGCTTAGCGTTGTGTAGAGTTTAGGATTTGGGATTGAGGGCTTTAGGTTGTTAGGGTTTAGGGGTTTAGGGTTTAGAGTTCGAGTTTAAGGTTTAGGGCTCAGAGTTGTGTAGCGTTTAGGAGTTTGGGGTTGAGGGCTTTAGGGTTTTAGGGTTTAGGGTTTTTTGGTTTATGGATTGCAGTTAGAGTTTAGGATTTGGGGTTGAGGGCTAGCCTCACCTTAGTTCTCCAACACCCAACCTTTAAACTTTTTGGGCTCTTATGGTTTAGTAGGAAGCTGAAAGTTGAACCGTTTACTTTCCGGGCTTCTTTGGGCAGTAAGGCGAGAGTTTGGGATTTTGGGATTAGGGTTGAGGGCTAGCCTCACGTTCAATAGTCCAGCGAGTTGGAGAGCTTTGCCGGCTCCCTAACTAGTCGCAGCCGGACGCTTTTGCCCTTTTTCTTTGTGGGTTCCCTTATACAAACGAAATGGTAGGAAAAAGGGCACCCGTATTTCTAAGCAGCGACTGGGAAACCTAGCTAAAAACCCTAAACGGCCCTAAACCCAACCTCAAAGAAGCCTAAACCCTAAGCCCCAAACGGCCCTAAACCCTAAACTCCAAACGGCCCTAAACCCTAAACCCCAAACGGGCCTAAACCCTAAACCCTAAACCCGAAACAGCCCTAAACCCTAAACCCCAAACGTCCCTAAACCCTAAACCCCAAACGGCCCTAAATCCCAAACCCCAAACGGCCCTAAACCCTAAACCCCAAAAGGCCCTACACCCTAAACTCTAAACCCCAAAAGGCCCTAGACCCTAAACCCCAAACGGCCCTAAACCCTAAACCCCAAACCGCCCTAAACCCTAAACCCCCCTAAACCCTAAACCCTAAACCCCACACGCTCCTAAACTCTAAACCCCCTGAACCCTAAACCCTAAGCCCCCCTAGACCCTAAACCCTAAACCCCAAACGCCCCTAAACCCTAAACCTTAAACCCTAATCTTCAAACCCTTGAGTCTCAAGCCTTAGCACCCTTGATTCGAAAATTGCAGCAAGGACCATATAACCGTTTAGGGTTCAGGGTTTAGGGTTTAGGGGTTGAGGGGTTGAGGGTTTATAGGGTTTAGGCTATAGTGCTTGTAACAGTAGAAACCCTGATTAGTTGCAGGAGTCGTAGTAGTGATAAGAATGGCGGCGCTGAGAAGAATACAGCAAGTGATAATGGTCAAGAGGACAACAAGTTATCCTAAGGCTCCATGTACTTTTATAGTAGATACTTAGGCCTTAAAGTACCTATATAGGGACCCCTTTAAGGCCTAAGTATCTACTATAAAGGTACATGGAGCCTTTGGGTTATCGTAGTGCTAGTATCAAGCCCAACCACAGTTGCAAAGCCGGTTGTGAAGGCCGTCTTCAAGCTACGGCGTCGCGACCTCACGCGGCCGTTTGTTCGGGTTTAGGGCTTGAGGTTTAGAGTCCTAAACCTATGTCCGAAACCCTAAATTAATCCTAAACCCTCCTCAACCCTAAGCCGTAGCTTGGAGTGTAGCCATGGGGTTTAGGGTTCAGGGATATAGTTCGAAGGTTTACCCTAAACCCTAAGTCAAGGACATTTTCAGGTGGACAGTTACCATGATAGGAGCATTATAGAAGGTCTATATACCTTATGGAAGCCGTTTAGAAGCCCTATATACCCTAAACTCCCCACCTGTGGTTTCCTCTAACTAAACCCTAAACCCCTAACCCCTAAACCCCTAAACCCTAAACCCTAAAACCCTATAAACCCTAAACCTTATAAACCCTAAACCCTATAAACTAGGCCGTTTACGTTTTGTGACTTAGCCAGACCGTGCATGGGGTGTAAGAGGTCTTGTGAAGCTTCTTTTTTCAGGGTCTGGGGTTGTGGCTAGGGGTTTTAGGGTTTAGGGGTTGGGGCTGTTTTATAATATATATATATATACACACAGATATAGATATTTGGTTATATCGATCTTTAGATATATCGATAGATATGTATGTATGTATGCATGCATGTACATACACATAGTACAAACATGCAAACATACATACGTACATACATACCTACGTACATATGTACCGTCGTATATACAAACACATACACACAGATATCCAAGCCACACCTCAAATGGCAGATGCCCCAAGACCCGACTCCTCTTTAGACCCTTGAGCCCCAAACTCCGTTCGGTTGTTTTGAGGCCCAGTGATTAATTAGGGTTTAGGTTGTAGAACCTGAAACCCTAAACCCAACAACGCTCAAACCTTGGGGAAGTATAGGGATTCCTTTGAGAGTTCCGTTTTCGGGTTTCTTTCTATGAGTTCCTGATATGAGTCCTTGAAAAGGTAGGTTCTTTAAGATCTAGGCAGGGTTTTGGGGATTTTAGGGTTGTGGGGTTTAGGTCTTAGGGCTTCAGGGATTTAGGGTTTTGGGGTTTAGTGCTAGGGCTTTTTGGTTTCGCGTAGTGGCCGCCTTAGACGCTAGCTTCGCAGGCGTATCCGCGAATAGATCCCAGCAATCAAGAGTATGTAGAGCAACTCTCCAAGCGGAGACATATGCTTGGGTTTAAGCTTTCGGGTTTAGGGCCTACCCACATGACATAAGTAAGGGCCAACATAAATCTATGGGTTGAGGATCCAGCGACAGCAGCCGAGTGCGCACTCGGCTCCGAAATGTTGTCTTGTGACCTCGGGCCGGCGCTTCGTCTCTATTCCCAGAGACTCCAATATCCTTTAATTAAGGAATATTCCTTAAATTATAGTAGGATCCTTAATATGATTTAAGGTATATTCCTTAATTCAGGGATATTGGAGTCTCTGGGTTCTGGGCGTCCCAAAGCCGAGCCGGACGATGATCTCGCAGGCGTGACGGTGCACCCAGAAGCGGTTGAATTGCATTCATCTAACGAGGGCCTGTCGTACTTGCACGGCCGCTCGGATGCACGCCATTCTATCATCTGCAAGAAGAGCCTGAATCGATCGATGGTGTGACAACGGATCGAAATATGTTCCACGTCCTGAGGGCCATTCTTGGAGTCAAACGCATCAAGTTGGACAACCGGTGCGCGGAAATTCTGGTGTCGTTGCGACAGTGGGAGCGACGACAAACAATGCTGCAGCTCCTGCGTGTGTATCACACCGCACCGGCGGCGGTTAAAGTGGCACGCGATCTTTGGGACTCGAGCGCTTTATCAGGGTGTAGTTCTTTTACAGCGCGGTATTCGGTGTTCGGCAACCCTAACCCCAAACCTTACCACGTACTTGTTCGCAGGTATGAAGGGATGACCCCAATGCCCTGAACCCTAAACCCTGGGGTCCGTTTTATAGCGGTGCCCTACTATTTTGGGTCCCTAAAAGGGGACCCAAATATAGAGAACTGCCCAAGTTGTCATGTATGAGGGGATGACCCCTAAACCCTAAACTCTAAACTCTTACCCCTTGAATAGCAGCCCAGAGAGCTTCGTACCAAGACCCCTGCCGGCCTATAGTGGACAATGTCTGCCTGGCCACTGCCACGTGTCAGCAGGGTGGGCATGTCAAAAATCCTGCGAGGTTTCGCGCCTTTTGCGGGCGGGTGCTTCGCTAGAGGCTGCCCTCACGGCCTACCTGCTGTACCGCCACGGCGGCCTCCCACCCGACTCGTCCGTGGTGGCCGGCAAAGCGCTGCCGCTCCAGCTTGTGAGAGTCTCCAATCCTTTCCTGCAGATGCGATCGCGAAGCTTCCGAGTACTGCACGCTTTTCGTGGCACCCATTTGCATCATGTCAGTAAGCTCCGCAGCCCTTGTATTTCCCTGGCTTATTGGGGGAAGTAAGCTTTAGGGATCAAGTCCGTAAGCCCAGCAAACTCAAGGAAGACCCCAGAACCCGCAATCGCATATCAAATATGCGGTCGCAACGAGACCCTGAGCCTTGAAATTTAGTGTCTAGGGTTTAGAGGTTTAGAGTTTAGGGTTTAGGGTTTAGGGTTTGAGGGTTCAGGGTTTTTCAAACCTACCAAAGAAAGAGACGCACACAGATCTTGATTTTCGATCGTTCAGGTCGACCAGCTGGCCTTTGTACGGGATACCTTCGGGAACACAGGCTGCCTTGACAATGGGTTTCATACAAGTCTCCATATTTTTTGTAATCAAGGACTTTATCTAGGGGTTGTCATGAGTATTTATACACGGCGTGATAAGTAAAGCAACTGGTAACTTTAGCTCTAGCTTTTCGTAGCCGGTGACCCGCACATAACGCATTCAGATCACGGCCTCATCATCTCAGGAATCATCAGCCATGGCGGTTCGATGTTCCTGAACTTCTGATGTGGGGTGATGTTAAGATTTAGGGGGTGGTACAGCTACTTGTGGGGATGTTGCGCAAACTGTTGTGCTTAACTTGGAGCAAGGGGTAGGGTGAGTGAATGGTTGCTAAAGGCAGTCTGTCTCACTTTTTCGGTGAGTTTACAGGATCAGGGTTTAGGGTTAAGGGTTCAGGGTTTAGGGTTCAGGGTTTGCGGTTGCTGAAAGCCCTTTCAGGGCAGCCTTCTTACCCACAGTACTTGACACTCGACAAACAAGCATACGCTTTCATCCCAAATCCCTGAAACCTAGCCACCTGAACCCTGCATCTCGTGGGTGTAGAGTTTCAGACTACCCCTTGGACATGGTTTTAGTCGAACATCACGGGCCAGTCTTCCGTGACGCTCTCTTATTCAGTAGGCGTCGACAATCCCAAAGAAAGACTAAAGCCGGGCACCCCCGATCTGCAGCCACAACCTCGAAACAAGATAAACCACAACACCCGAAACCCCAAAAGGATTACAACCCAAAAACCCTGAAAAAATAAACCCTCAACCCCTGTACCAAGCCCTCGCAAGACTCCTTATGAAATGCGTGAAGGATTAAATGAGGAACCCTTGATGTAGTTTTGTAAAAACCCTAAACGGACCTAAACCCCTCAAACCCTAAAAGCCCAAAATCCGTCTGCAGGTCGCCCCGAGTCCGCTCGGTCGTCGAGGCTCTTATGCTGGGGCTTTTTCGGAGGGGGTTTTGGGCTTGAGGTTCGGGGTTTAGCCTTCGATGAGGCTTTATTTTTGTCCAATTCGGCGCGAAGTTGTGTTTCTTGATGTTCGTTCTTCAGAAGATGTTTATGTGGGATCTTACTCAGAAGTTCCTACGCTGCAAGCAGGGTCGTGTAATCTCCGAATACTACTGCTTACCTTGGCGTTCTTTTGCTTGGCTCTTAGGACTTTAACATTTTAGGTTTATATGAACTATAGTAAGGAGACTAAAAGTCTAATTTCTAACTTTTCGGAGGGGTTCAGGAGTCAGCCAAGTTACCCACCCGCGAAACTGACAGGGAACCCCACAGAGATCCCTTTCACAGGGCAGTAGTCAATACGTGACGTCCTGAAAGAGACTGCAAAAAAAGTACCTTCTCCTCTAAAACCACGCGTCGCTAGCCGTGGGGTTAGTAGAGTCCAAGGTCTAGTCTGGGACATTTTCAGGTGAGTAGTTACCGTTATAGAACCTTATAGAAGGTCTATATACCTTATGAAGCCTTATAGAAGCCCTGCCTACCCTAAACTCCCCACCTGTATACACTGTAGTTTCCTTCAATCTAGGTGCCTTGTGATTTAGTTTCTCGGATTTCGGTGTGGGGCTCCGTCTGGTGATCTGCATGTTGGAGGGCACCAGAGGGGTAACTTGGGGCATCTCAAGGGTTTTGAGCTACTCTACACCCTAAACCCTAAACCACAGACCCTAAACCCTAAACCGTGGCTGTACATGTGCAGACCTGGGTATTTTTCAAGTGAGGGTCTCTGATGTAGCGCGCTTTGAGCCAAAGCGTTATCTCCACTGCAGAAGGCTTACGCAGGGCACTTAACGGTTTAGGGTTTAGGGTCTACTTGGTGACTGGTGGATCGGAATCAGCGGCAGAGAGCCTAAACAGTCTCGACATGTTCATCATTAACCGGCTTGGGGCGGCTGCCACTGTCCTATTGGCAAAACCTGTATACTCTGCTACTGTGCTCCAGTTTCTGCAACCCTCGAAACCACAAGCACTCGATCACCGTGAGCCACGGCATGCCCTACACCTGTGGCGTGGGCCTAGCCCAGTATGGCGAAATGGCCTGCGGTGACTTCGTTGACAACGACTACCCTTCGTACGAATTTAGTGGACGAGGGGTGTGTGGTGACTTTAGTGTTGAAGCGATTCGAGCTTCGGTGGGGAAAGTCACGTGTAAGGCGAAAGGCCTCGGACACATGATAGCCACGTTCGAAGGCCTAAACCCTGACCCCCCCAACCCCCAAAGTCTAAAACTCCTGAAACCCCTAAAACCCTAAACCCTCAACCCTAAACCCCAAACCCTAAACCCTAAACCTTAAACCCTAAACCCTAAAACGCATGAACCCTAAATAACCCTAAACCCTAAACCCTAAGCCTAAAACGCCTAGAACCCCTAAAAACCCCAACAGGTCTTCCCGGACCCGGCCGGACACCATCGCAGAGGAGGACGGACCCCACTCGCCGGAGATCTTGCGCCTGGACGGCGAGGTCGGTTTCGGTTACTTGGTGTTCTTCTGGCTGGCTCTTAGGACTTTAACTTTTTGGGTTTCTATATGAACCACAATAAGGATACTAAAAGTTTAACTTTTTGGAGGGGTTCCGAAGTCAACCAAGGTTAGTTCCTTGCAGGGCTTTTAGGATTTGGGGCATAGAGTTCAGGGTTTGGGGTTCAGGTGTTATGCTTAGGGTTATTTCAGGCTTTTCAGGTTGGGGCTTAGGGTTGTAGGACTTTCGGGCTTAGGGCTTTAGGGCTTTAGGCTTTCAGGCTTATTTTAGGGCTTTACGGTTTTATTTAGGGTTTTTCGGGCTTTTAAAGTGTTTAGGGATGGTAGGTTTAGGGGGGCTTTTAGGGTTAAGGGCTGTGGGTTTAGGGCTTAGGGCTTTGAGTGGTATTTCGCCCGGCTTCTTTAGGGGGTTCCACCGCTTCAACCCATGGGCTTCGCAAAGGCTCGCGGAAACCATGATCTCAGTATTCCTGTAGCTACAAGAACTTGCCAAGAGACAACCTGCGCAATCCCTGTAAAACCCTAAACCCTAAACCGACAACTTCAGAAACCCAAACAAGGCCTTCAACCTGAACACGACAGAAAGCCTGGACCCTAGAGCAAACCATGAACAGACTGAAACACACAAACCCTGAATGTGGCTTGTAATTAAGCCATATTCCCTTAAAGGGCTCTTGGATGATATCGGAACTCTAGACCCACTACCAAAAGCATAGACCCCAAATCAAAAAACAGCAAAACCCTTAATCCCAAACCCTGAATCCTAAGCCTGCAAAAGCCCTAAACCCCTTGACCTGAACCCTAAACCCTCCGAGACACTGTAAGACCCTACGAAAGCCTTGTAGAGCCTTATTGTATGCCTTACACAACCCCAAAGCCCAAAACCCTAAACCCAAACCACTACTGTTACGATTATAACTCGTATATTGCAGTACTACCATAGCTTGCAACCCTTATAGAAGCCCATTTAGAACCCTTGAAAACCCTTGACTAGAGCCTCTATAAGGATCGCTAGCCCCTGAAGCCCAGTACTACCAAAAACTAGGGTTTTGCGTTTAGGGTTTAGGGTTTTAGGGGTTCATGGGTTTCGGATTTAGGGTTAAGGGCCCTAACCCTAAACCATAACCCTGAGGAACCCTTGTAGAAACCTCATAGAAAAGCCAAAACCCTAAAACCTTCTACGAACCCTTAGAGAACCTTACAGATATTTTACAGATATGAGCCCTTGCAATAGAAACCCTACGAACCCTCATAGAAGCCCGGCAGAAGCCCTAAGCACCCTTTAAACGTTAAGCCCTAAGCCCTGAACCCGAAAACACCCTAAACCCCTAAACCCCTAAGCCCTAAACCCTAAACCCAAATCTTAGCCCTTCTGGAGCCACCAGGGTTCCAGACTCCTTGCAGTCAGCGCAGGGCTGCTGGGCACAGCCACGGGAGGGCT